CTTGCTAATGAAAATTATTATTTCCTAGAAATAAATAATTTCCAATTTAATTATAAGAGTTTATTTAATATTTATTAAAACCAGTTTTTAATAAATAATCAATTATATCAAGTTGTCCGTGTGACCCATTAGTATCATATGTTAAATAGCAATATCACTTTAATATGATTCTTGAGCATACTAGATCTTTCAAGATTTTCCTTAGTTGGTCGAGGACAGAGAATTAAGGTTCGATTTTTCGTCAGGATATGTGATCTCTGCTAAGATTGGGGGGTTTGATATCAATATTAGAAGGAGGTTGTCTGCACAAGAGGACTTCTCAGTCCTAATTAGTATTTAGAAAGTTTGGTAGGGTCGTCAAATGTAACATAGTAAGTTGTAAGAAATGATTTTGAGGACGAAGTCTAATTTACGTGGGGAGATTTGTAACACCTGTTTCAGGTACGAGTGAACTCCCAATTTTGAGTTTGCATTTGGGTGGCATGGTGTGGTGGAGGTTTCACCACGGCATGGCAGTTCCTTTTTGATCGTGGGGCTTTAATGACCGCCACGACATGGCCATATGTTGCCACGACGTGGCAGCTGTTTTTGGAGAAAACCCTAACTCTTGGTATTTGGGCCATATTTAAAGGACATGGTGGCTAGGGTTTCATGATCATTCAGCTTCCAACAATCCCTTTTGCAAACCCTAATTGGTTCTAACCTCCTTGAACTCTTTTTGAAGAATCTTGTGGTGTTTTTGGCATTTTGAAGGAGAATGAAGCCTTTCAGTGTGGTAGTTCACCTTGCAAGCATCATCTTCATCTTCTAGCATATCTTTTGGACCTTGGTGAGTGTCTAAGACTCAATCTTTATATTGTTAAGTTTCCAGATCTCTAGATTTGTCCCTTTTTCTTCATGTCTTGGTGAGTTGGGATGGGGAGATCTCATAGCATTTGCAACTTTATGAATCTCTGATACATTTGGGGTGACTAATACCTTGGATCTGAAGTAAGAATAGGTTTTGGTGTCATGCATGAAGTCTTGGTCATAAAACCTTTATTTTGACCTAATATGGGTTCAAGACATGCATTGGACATGCATGTTTGTAAAGCATGAATTTTTATGTTAGTGTTGGTGCTAGAAACTCTTCTGGAACTGATGGACAATGAACTTTCAAGATTTAGTGCTTAATGATTAAGTCCATGTTATGTTTTGCCTTTATTGGACCTAGGTTTTGAGATCTTGATCTCTTGGCTGGTCTTAAGGGATAAAGTTGGAAACTTTTTCCATATAGACCATAGGAAAGACCATATCTAATCTTGGAGCTCTTGGAATTGAAGAAAACATCTTAACCCATTAAGTTTTTAAGAACCCAGTGCCCCCGACATGGCCTTAGGTCGCCACAACGTGACGTATGGGAACCCACCTTCTGTGTTGTCGTTTATGGGTCACGACGTGGTCATGGATGGTCGCGACGTGGCGGTCAACTGAATACAACTTTGACCGTTGACTTTTGATTTGAGTTTACTTTTGGTCAAACTCCTAGTTTTGGAAGGAGGGCTAAGGGTTTACCTTGTGTGACTATATAAGTGATGTATAACATCAGTATTTTCGGCAGTGAAAGCAGTATTAATTGATTATCGTCTGAGAGGTGAGTCTCTTCACTGTACTCGTTGGTCGAAGGCACCAATGTCGGCCCACTAGATTATGTTTGTAGGATGATAGTTGTCTTTGTGATACTTGTTGATATGCATGTATGTGCTTTTTGTCTTTATGACTCTTGTTGATATGCCTATATGCTTTATGTATGTGGGGTGAAATAGACCCGGGGGTGAAACAGACTCGTTCGGTTGAAAAATACCGATTGATTTGAAATAGACTCGGGGGTAAAGTCGACCCGTTCGGTTGGAAAACACTAACTGAGTTGAAATAGACTCGGAGGTGAAATAGAGTCGTTATAGCTTCGAGTTGATATGTATGTACAATGTGCGGTATTTTCGGGAACTCACTAAACTTTGTGCTTACGGTTTCATGTTTATTGTTTCAGGTACTTCCGGTTCCAAAGGGAAGAACTCAACGTTATTACATCGCATCCACCAGTGTTCCGAATCTTATGACTTGTTTTGTACTCTGATAACTATTTGATACATTTTTATACTTTGATTGGGTTTTTGGAATGAATGAATAGTGGTTTCGGGCTTACTTAAAGAAAAATTTTACTTAGTATTTTTGGGACCTTACACACACAGTTCTCAGGTTCGCGGTTTCACATCATTGGCTAGTTCACCGGATTGATGTGAAAAATCCTTCATACACTATCATATCCAGGGGACAATTTACATGCTTCAGCCACCAAGTTATCGTGATCCTCAATATCCTAGTAATATTCGTCTATTAAAATGACCTTTATATGTTTTAAAATAGCACCAGAAGCATGAATCATCATTTTACTCAGTTCATGGTTCACCATGGGTTTACTCATAGCATGTGAAACTTATCATTATTCATTTATTATAGAAGACCTGATACAACATACCCTTTTGTTGTATATCGACAACATTGTTATCATTACATCCCCTCCTAGTCTCAATAAGTAGATTGTCGCATCACGCATACCTTGGCAGCCTCAACTATTTCTTTTACATCGTTGTATGTTGTGACAAAAACGACATATTTTATCCCAATGAAAGTATATAGTTGATATAACATCCGATACTCTAGCAAAAATTGATGATGTAGGACCTTCTGTTGTCGATCTCACATTGTACCACAGTTTGTCCGGTGCTTTACAAGATCTCACATTTACTAGGCCCGACATTTCATATATCATACAATAAATATGCTTGTTTATGCATTATCCTTAGAAACCTCACCTTAAATGTTCTCAAACGTATTTTGTGGTATATCCGTGTCACTCTCAATTACGAGACTCAAATATTTGTGTCACCATCGCACATGCTTACAACTTATTCCAATACATATTGGGTGGGTTGTCCCACTACATGTCCTTCAACACCAGGATATTGTGTAGTTTTTGGCGACAACATGCTATCTTATGTTAGAAAATAGGGGATGAATAGATTGCTTGGATTCTCTGAAAGTCGTGATTCACTATCAAATTGAAGTATTTCGATGGTACAGATCGAACACTCAATTGGATGAAATTCAGAGAATGAAATCTGAGAATGTATGTGAAAATGTTCTTCAAGATGTACCAGAAAAATGACCAAAAACGGATATATCATTCCTGTCTGAAAACTGTCAATAGACAGTTACAAACTGTCAAACTACCAAACCTGTCATTAAACGGATCTCTGGGGAAAAAGGGTCAACTTTCTAACAGCTCGATCCCAGCCAGGGGCTCTACCCCTTGGACCCCCCCAGGGGCGCTGCCCCCGGACCCCCGTTCGTTTAGGGGCTTCGCCCCTAAATAACAATGTACTTTGAATCTTGAAAAACTTAAACAAGTGTGCACTCCTACACCATCCTAACTTGTTCAATATTCAACAAGATCACTTTTGGTCAACAAATTTAATCCTATTACACTTAAATAATATTGATGATATAAAATCACCAACATCTTGGTCCTCCAAATGACAAGACATCATTTCTCGCTTCAACGCTGAAGCCAAATACCAAGTGTTGCCAATATTGTTGATGGAATTTGTTGGTTACGTAATCTACTATGCGAGCGACATTGTTCTCTAACTAAAGTCACAGTCGTTTATTGTGACAACGTTAGCGATGTGTACCTAAGACTCTAACCATATCCAGTATCAACACACCAAACACATTAAGATCAATATACATTTTGTCTGAGACAAAGTAGTTATGGGACATGTCTTGGTTCTTCATATCCCCACATCACCTTGGTATGTAGATCCAATTTAAATTTTCAATCGGCCATCTTCCGTCCCAACTACATGAATTTGTTAATAGAATGTTATGTGTTTATGTGTGCATTCTTGGTCCATGGCCATGTGTAGCCCAAGTATCATTGTTCTATTTCTATGTATTATTCAATAATCAGAAGATATAGATATTTTTAAAAGAAATAATCTCCATCAAATATCATATGTTCGTTAGTGCTATTTATGATTCTATTATTCTATAAGCCTCAACGTTTGATTCACCATTTATTGATTCTGAATTCACACTATATAACATACCATCTTACTAGGAGATCCTTATGCAAGAAAATGGAAATGAGAATAATCTTTAATGGATTTTCCTTTTCCTGTTATGGTATAAAATAAAGGGTAAATAGGTATTCCTCCCTCCCCCCATCCCAAGAAAAAATAATTACCATATACGCCATTCTCATTCCTTTTTATGGTATAAAGAATAAAAAAAAGAATTTACATGATGTATAAGATATATTTGGTAAATTCCAATTCCATAGACGCCCATTTTCTTGGTAACCATAAATATTGTTTGATGAAATAGAATTAATAGAAATAAATTTAAAACCAACCGGCGTAAATGTTAGACAATGAAAAAGCCAATTGAGGCGGTGTTTGTTACTTAAATGCGGGCCGTGTTGCCGTCATTATTTCGGTCGGCAATTCCACTCCATTGTAACTAGTGATTATAAATTTATAATTATAAACTAAACTTAAACATAAATTTAACTAAATTAATAAACTAAAATTTGCTTCTTTATAACTGCTGGTGCCACGTCACACCATATAATGTGTTTAGAGTCGAAGTAAAGCAAAGGAGGTGGTCGATTTAAATGGCCGCGTCATCCATCCTAGCTGGCACGGGGCCCAATTTTAACCTAAAATGAATTATTTAATTTAATTTTTTTGAAAAGATGGCAATTCCCAGGCTTTTCCTTTGAGGTGTCAAGTTGACTTGTAAAGAAAGAAATTCGAAAAACGGGCACTCGGATTCGGGCAGCGTATGTTACGCCATGTGCCTGTTTCATGCTTAAAGAGTAAATATTTCCTTTTTATTACATTAATAAAAAAAAAACTGATAATATAAATACCAGGGTAACGGATGCCATAATACCCAAAGGCGTGGTTCAGATCCTAGAGAGAGAAATTAACAGCTCTATTTTCCATGGCGATTTAGTCAAGAATTTCTTCGATTTTGGGTTCTCTGTTAGCTGTAAACCGCTATTTCCTTTGTTGAAATCGTTCCCAAAGCAAACAAGACTTGAAATCAAGACCTATTTCATCTCTTATTTCTGATCTGCATAATAATATCCATCTCCTGTAAGGAAGACGAAGCCAAAATGATGCAGATGGACAGGAGACCTTATATGGATGAGTTTGAAAAGCTACTTGTGCGAATGAACACTCCAAGGTCAGCATCTCCTCTGTTACTTCTTAGATATTAAGTTCTGTATTTGTAATCTGATGACCTAATTAAACACTCCAGAGTAATTTTTCAAATTTTGTCGACATATATGATATATCTGCGTTTTTCCGACCGGAAATTTTTAATTCACTTTCTTCAACTGCTACTACAAGCTTAGTGTTCTAATCACGGTATGTTTGAAGGGAAACAACGATTTGTTATTGGGTGATTATTATAATAATAATAATATAAAATTGATTTCTGGTTTTTTTTTTTTTTTTTTTTTTTTTTTCTAAGCCTCCCAAAATTGTAAAGATAAAATTAGTTCTAATTTGTTCCACAATCCAATTTTGACTTTTCAAAGACCAATACCTTTTCTTGTCTCTAATTTCCAGTTCAAAATTCGAATTTTCTTTCACGCTATGGTTTCCCACGACAAGTCTTAATCAACTTTTTTCTGTCAATCTCAGGGTCATGATCGACAATGCCGGTTGTGTAAACGCAACCCCTAGTCATGGTAAGTTTGAATTCTTAGAGTTGACCAATTTCCATATTAAATCAATTTACAATTTGACAATTAAACTAATCCTTTTTTTTTAATAATCTTTAGATCGATAGTGCCAGAAAAGATAGAATTCTTCTAGAGGCTGTTCAAGTGCTTACAGATTTGAATCTTCTAATTAAAAAAGGCTATGTCTCATCCGATGGAAGGTGGAACATGGATGGTAATTAAGCTTTTATATTTATTTATTTTTTTCAATAATTTTGTTCATGTAGAATTAACAGTTGATAATTAACTGTTGTCATCTCGTTATCTACAGTTTTTCATGTAACCGATTTGGGTGGTAACAAATTGACGGACAACAACATCATCAATTGCATTCAACATGTAATTTACTTTTTTCCTTTTTACCCTTTTCTTTAAGATTTATTTCTTATTTAAAAATATTTAAGTTTACCATAATTGTATTTCTTTTCACAGTCACTCGGTACATTCGCAACACAAGATCCAAATCGATCGATGGAATGACAGCAATCGAGTTAACCGGGACCGACCGAGTCGGCCTTCTATCCGAAGTTTTTGCGGTTCTTTCGGAACTCAAATGTGATGTGGTTGAATCCAAAGTATGGACACACAATGGCCGGATCGCGGCTCTCATTTACTTAAAAGATTGTGATTCCGGATGCTCGATTGAAGATTCTCACAAAATTGAGAAAATCGAAGCGAGGTTAAGAAACGTACTTAAAGGCGATAACGATATCCGCAGTGCAAAAACTTCGGTTTCAATGGCAATCACTCACACTGAGAGACGCCTACACCAAATGATGTTTGCAGACCGCGATTACGAGCGGTCTGCAAACATAAAAACCAGTGGCGAAGATCATTCGCCACTGGTTTCTGTTCAAAACTGTTTGGAGAAAGGATACTCGGTTCTAAACATTCAGTGCAAAGATCGCCCCAAGCTTTTATTCGATGTTCTTTGCACTTTAACCGATATGCAATATGTCGTGTTTCACGCAACCATTAACACCACAGAAAACGGAGCATATTTGGTATATATTCTTATACCATTTTGGCATAAAATCGGTTTTTTGTTTATTTTGCTAAATATTTTGTGTCAATTTCTTATGGTTTAGGAATTCTTTATTAGACATACGGATGGAACCCCGATTAGTTCCGAAGCCGAAAAGCAAACGCGTGACTCTTTGCTTGCAAGCCGCCATTGAGAGAAGAGCATCCGAGGTATGAAGTTACAATGTTTGTTTAACTGATAAAGTCCATTAAGTAAAAAAGAAACAGTCTGCTAACGATTTAATTTATTTTTTCAGGGTGTAAGGCTTGAGCTATGTACGACGGATAGACCGGGGCTATTAGCAGAAGTGACACGAACATTTAGAGAAAACGCGTTAAATGTGACAAGAGCCGAAATATCAACAACAATGGGAACGGCTTTAAACATATTTTATGTGACGGATGCACTTGGGAATGACGTGGATTCAAGAATGATAGAATCGGTCCGACAAGGAATCGGGTCGGATTGCCTAAGGGTAAAGGAACTACCATTTAGGAATCAACAAAAAGGAGAGAATGAAGAACAACATGGAGGTGGAAGTGGACTTGGTGGGGCGGTTTTGTTGTCACTTGGGAGTTTAGTTAAAAAGAATCTTTATAATTTAGGGCTGATAAAGTCGTATTCTTGAGAATTTTAAAAAAAAAATTTGTGTTTTGTACATAAGAGATGAAAGAAATATTATTGGTGAAGGTTGGTGATTAGTAGGTGGACACATACATATGTTAGGTTTGGGTTGATGAAATGAAAGGGGGCCACATTACACACAGATAGAAGAAGGGGAAATGGATTGATGGGTAATTATTATTTAGGTAGGTGATTGGTTTACACTTGCATCCATTTGTTCCCTAATAGACATTAGTTATTAGTTAGTAGTTTGTACATACAACTTATTTTATATCTACTACAATTACTATTTGACCAATTTGACTCTGCTTTTATAATATTATTTATGTGTATATATTAATTTGTATGATAGAAAAAAAGGGTAGTAACGTGCAAAGTGAAAAAACAATGACATATATTGACATGATTGATGGAATTGGATGATATTTGAGGATTAAGATGGTTCGGCTTTAATCCTTCAAAATCTTTTGGAAAGATTTCCGCGACGATTGCAACATCTTGGAATCAACACTCCTTCTAAAAGGTTTTTGTCATGTGAGAAAACCAGTTCTATTTCTTTTTTGGACAACAAACACGTCTTTAGTTATATAACCTCAAAAGGATGAAGTATTTATTTATTTTTAACCCCGCTCCCCTTTTCTTTCATAATTTTGATTCTTATCATTATAATGCATGACTAACTGAATTCATAGAGTCTATTAGAAATTGAAAAATGTATATTTTTTACCGAACGAAAACATTGAGAACGGTTAAAATGGCGTTACTATTCAATATCAAATAATAATAATAATAATAATAATAACAATAATAATAAATAATAATAATAAAAAAAATAAAGGTTGAATATTAGGTTTTTTTCCTTTTCATGAAACCGCATCTCTAAACATTCACCTTTTTGATGTTAAAGTTAGTTAAGGTTCATTTTCAAGAAAAATGAAATGGCCTAAAAAGTAAAAACATCAAACCTAAAATGGGGTTTTTAACAATAAAAAATTGGAGATATATTAATTATGAAGAGTCTTTTTATAAAATACTTTTGGAAAGTAAAATAATTTATTACAACCTATTTTTATAAAAAGAAAGAACTACTATGAAAGTTCATTTGTCACTAACAACCAAATGACTTCTAGCCTAACGTTATCAGAGTTGTCATTCTCTTTAAAATCGAAGGTTCAAGTTTCATCTGATACATTGGTAAATTAAGGAGTAGTTTAGGAGTATGTTAGATTTGTAGTTCAAATTTTTTTTTGCCACTTAGAGCATTTATAGTTGTGAGTTAAATGAAAAGTTGAATGACGTGACAAATTTATTTGTCATTCAATAGATATAGCTCTATCATTATAAAATGACACTTTGACCTTCAATGGACTTAAAATTCAATGGTCATTCATTGGATTTTTCAATGGAAAAAATGAAAGTTTTTAAGTCTTAAATAAATATTATACATTAGTTTTTTATAACGTTTCATTGAACTTTGTAGAGTTCAATATCTTGTAAGAAATATCAATAAGTTGTATGGAATGTAGAATGATGATGTGACAATCCATTAAACTCTGTAGAGTTCAATACATTGTGGATTCTCTAAGGTTGTGTGGTATACGTTGTACTTGTAAAGTCAGGAGCATGGTGCCTACGTAGCATGCAATAATAACGTGAATACACCACCTATGTGTTTCGTGGCATGATCAGTCATGGTCATTGTCATAAGCTGTAATGTGTGAATGCTCTTTCATCATTCTTTTTCTCTTCTTCTTCCTTCTCGTTTCTGGGT